AGTTCTTTATATGCTATATATAATACTTCCATGTTTTCATAAAATCAGACATGCAGGTTTGTATATTTTCAATTTCCAACCCAAGGATCAGATGAGTTTAGGAAAAAAAAAAGGACAGTTATTTCTCAGTAAAGCTGGGGTAAAAAAGAAAAAATAATCAAACCAAATAAAGTCTTGTAATTTTGTTATTAAATATTTACTCTGATGATGAAATCCTTTGGTGGGTATGTTTATTTCTTAGAAATAAAGCAAAACTCAAATATGAAAATATTTAATAGTTAAGCAAAGGGATCAATATGAACCTACAAACTGAGTAGTGGAGCCATCTTTGAGGTGCCATGAACAGTGACATACATCTCTGGCCCTCCCTGGTAGCTCCCTTGATAGGGATTGCAATTCAATATGGTCAGCAATTAATTTTATTTTTTAATTAATTAATTAAACAAACAAAAAGCAGTTTCCCCAAAGGAAGTGATTCTGAAATGTCTGCTTTTGGTTTTGATCAGAGATGCATTTGGTAAAAAATTTCTAAGATTAGCGTATTTATTCCAAGCACTTATACATTGACCCACAGGCCCATCATAGTGGAAAAAAAAAGTTTAATATCTGTTGGTTTACTTCATACATATTCAATAAATTTTTAATCAATTTATAAAACCATCATAAATGAGATTTCAGACAAATGTACCCCAAGTAAATTTTCATTATTTCTGGATAAATGACTCACATATGGTCTTTGCTATATCATTTTTTAAAATGGAGGAACTGGGGATTGAACCCAGGACCTCATGCATGCTAAGCATGCACTCTACCGCTGAGCTATACCCTCCCCCAATATATCATCCTTGACACATTATATGTATATTCAGTCCTTATTATATATAAAAATTCCTTGTAGTTTTTGTGCCACCCATGTAAATGTTGTGTACCATCATGTGGTATGAAAAATAAATTCTGTTGACACAACATTGTAAACTGACTATACTTCAATAAAATATATTTAAAATGATATACAATTTCTACAATTTGATATGCAAAAAATTAAAATTTTATTACTACCTTTAGAGATTTTCTGAAAAGCAAAACAAAAAAACCAATTCTGAAGTTACCCCAAATGCCTTAGGAGTTGACCATTTGTCTAGTTAGAGTGTGTGAGTTATCCCTATGTCCTGCTATGTAACTGTGTGACCTTGGACAAATTGTTTCCTCTCTCTATGTCTGTTTCTTTATCTTTAATATTTTCTTTAAAAGTACTTCCGTCATAGCGTTGTTCTAAGAGTCCGTGAACTAATCTACATCAAACTTTACACAGTGCCTAATGCCTAGTGGCTATGCAGTAATTGTTAGCTATTCCTGTTATCACTATCATCACCACTGATATTGTTAAAGTATCAAAGCAAAGATCTATGTCCCTTGGCAGAACCTGATGTACAATCCAAGTTCAAGGACGCTGGCAGGCTAACAAGAGATTAAACATCCCAAAGACTCCAATATGAAGGCTAGTTTCATTTCAGAAGGCTCAACCCCAGCATTGACAGATGTTTGAGCAATCCTGGGGGCCTGCAGGTACCCAGCTCAACTAGTGCTATGGCCTTGAGGAGCTCTGCTCCTTTCTTTCCCTTTTCCCAGATGCCCTGTAAAGTTTCCTGTTATCCTAATTTTCTGGGAGGGTTTTTTGTTAAATCAAAATGAGCATCAGATTTGGGGAAATTCTTTTCTGCATCTATTTAGATAACCATATTTTTTTTTACTTTGTCATTGTCATTATTGTGGTGAATCATAGTAATTGATTTTCAAATGTTAAACGAATCCTGCGTTTCTGGGGTAAATCCCAGTTGGTCGTAATGTATTATCATTTTAATATATTATGGAATTTGATTTGCCAAAATTTTGTTTAGAAATTTTGCATCTATATTACTGAGGGATATTGTTCTGTAGTTTTCTTTTCTGGTAATGTCTTTGACTTTGGTATGAGGATAATACTGGCCTCATAGGATGAGTTGGGAGGTACTGCCACCTCTCCAGTTTTTTGGAAAAGTTTGTGTAGAATTGTTATTATTTCCTCCTTAATATTTAGTAGATTCACCAGTGAAGCCATAGCTTGGATTTTGTTTGTTTGTTTGGCTTTATTTTTTGGAAAACGTTAACCCTTATAAGTTTATTGAAGCTTGTTTTGTGGCGCAAAAATATGGTCTATATTGGTCAATGTTCCATGTGCGCTTGAAAAGAATGTATTCTGCTGTTGTTGGGTAGATTAGTCTGTAAGTGTCAATCTGGTCAAGTTGGTTGGTTAGTAGTGTTGTTATAAACTGAATTGTGGTCCTCCAACATTCATATGTTGAATTCTAACCCCCAATGCGACTATATTTGGTGACAGGGCCTTTAAAGAGGTAATTAAAGTTCAATGAGATCAGAAGAGTAGGCCCTAATACAATAGGACTGGTGCCCTTGTAAGAAGAGGAAAAGACACCAGGAGCACACACACACACAGAAAAGGCCATGTGGGGACACAGGGAGAAGATGTCCATTTGCAGGCAAGGAGAGAGGCCTCAGAAGAAACCAAACCTGCCAACACTTTGATCTTGGACTTGACTTCCAGCCCCCAGAACTGTGAGAAAGTACACTTCTGTTGTTTAAGCCACCCAGTCTTTTCTGTTATGGCAGCTTGAAGAGAACAATACAGTGTTGTTCACATCTACTTATATCCCTGTTAATTTTCTGCCTACTTGTTCTATCAGCTTTTGAAAGAAGGGTATTAAAATTTCTCTTTCTTATTGCAGTTCAGTTTTTGCTTCATGTATCTTGATCCGCTGTTATTAGGTGCATGAATGTTTAGGACTGTTATGTTCTCTTGATTAATTAACTAATTTACCACTATGAGATGACTTTTTCTGTGATACATTCTTTGCTCTAGAATCTACATTGTGTGATATTGATATAGTCACTCTACTAGTGTTCACTAGTGTTAGCACAATGTATCTGTTCCTATTGTTTTACTTTTAGCCTATTTCTGTTTTTATATTTAAAGTGTGTTTCCTTTAGGAAGTATATAGTAGTGTCTTTCCTTTTTATCCAATCTGACAATCTGTGCCTTTTAATTTGGGTGTTTAGACCATTTAAGTTCAGTGTGATTATTGATATAGTTAGGTTTGAGTCTATCATCTTACTATTCATTTTCTGTTTGTCCCAACTGTTCCTTGTGCCCTTTTATCTCTTTTTCTACTGTCTTTTGGATTGAGTATTTTTATGATGATTCCATGTTAGCTCCTTTGTGGACTTACAAGTTATAATTCTTTGTTATTTAGTGGTTGCTTTAGGTTTCATAGTAAACATATTTAACTTATCATAGTCTACATTCAAGTAACAATATACCACTTCATATATGGTATAAGAACTTCACAATAATATACTTCCATCTCTGCCCTCCTGGGATTTATACTATGGTTGTAACTGCTGAGATATATACTATTGTCATGCATTATAATTTTACATATGTTATACACCCCATAATACGTTATTATCTTTGTTTAAACAGGCAATTATCTTTTAAGGAGATTTAAATATTGAATACTTGAATATTTAATATTTTGAATATTTACCTATGTAGTTACCACTTCCAATGTTCTTCATTCCTTTCTGTAGGTCCTGGTTATTTCCATATGGTATCATTTGCCTTCTGCCTGAAGGACATGCTTTAACACTTCTTGTTCTGCAGGTCTGGTAGTGATGAATTCTTTCAGCTTTTGTATATCTGAAAGCACTTTTATTTCTGTTATTTTTCAAATTAAGGTTTTTTTAAACTTTTAATCTTGAGATAATTGTAGATTCACACGTAGTTGTAGGAAATAACACAGAGCAGGCCGTGTATCCTCTTGCAAATTTCTCCCGATGGTAACATCTTGAAAAACTGTAGTTACTATCACAACCAGGAAATCTTCTCAACTCAAGGAGTCTACTGGGCTTTATCTCATTCTCAGGCCTGAAATATCTCATTGCTCAGCCTGAAAACTGTCTCAAGGCAGTAAGCTGAGCAAGCGCAGGGCTCGCCTTGTTTATTTCCCATCTCTCAGGGATCACTCTCCTTCATTGCCTAATATCCAGTGTCTTAAAAAACATTGTTTCATTTATATTGTCTGGGAGTTTTTTCTTCTTTCAGATGGGAAGTTATATCTGTTACCTGTTACTTAACCTTGGCTGGAAGCAGAAGTGTCTGCTCCTTTTCTTAAGGACTCCACACAATCCCCAAAACCAAGACCTTGAGTGCTTTTTCCAAAATAACAACATAACTCTGGCTAAACTCTCTTTAAACGCTGCTGTTTCCCTGAAACATTTTCTCCTTTTTTCACATTGGCAGGAGAAGTTTTGCTGCAGACAGCATCCTTCCTCTTGAGAAGGCCTGTCTGTTATTCCTGGGTTTAATTCTAGGTTAGCAGTTAAATGCTTGATATAGAAATAGTCTAGGTATACAATACGTCTCAGCACAATATTTCTCTCAATCAGCTGTTTTATGGGAAACATAAATACCTTCAGGCATAGAGAGAATATTCTCTGAGCCATCTGAAAAACTTTTACTAAGCTGTGGGATTCCATCCTTAGCTTTAATATTTAAAGAGATTTTACCAATATATTTACAGGGAACAAGTGCATCAAATGCATTCAGCTCGTTATTTATGGATGAGAATGAAGGCATCTTCACCATATGTTATGGAGTGAATGTTGTGTCCCCTCAAAATTCACGTGCTGAGGCCCTAACCCCCTGCAGTGCGGTTGTGTTTAGACATGTGGCCTCTAAGGAAGTAATTAAGGTTAAATGAGGATATCAGGGTGGGGCCCTGATCAGATGGGTAAGTGTCCATATAAGAAGAGACACCGAAGTGTGCTTATGAGCTTTCTCTCTCCATCTCCCTCTCTCCCCTCCTCTCTCTCTCTTTTCTCTCTTCCTCCTTCCCTCCCTTCTTCCCTCTCTCCTCCGCTTCACAACGAAGAGGTCTTGTGGGCTCGGGTTCCGGTTTCTCCGCGGGCGGAAGGGGCGGGCGAGCGAGTGGCCGCCGCTGCGGCCCGGGAGCCGGCATGGAGAAGCTGCGGCGGGTCCTGAGCGGCCAGGACGACGAGGAGCAGGGCCTGACCGCGCAGGTCCTGGATGCCTCGTCCCTCAGCTTCAGCACCAGGCTGAAGTGGTTCGCCATCTGCTTCGTGAGCGGCATCTTCTTCTCCATCCTCGGAACTGGATTGCTGTGGCTTCCTGGTGGCATAAAGCTTTTTGCAGTGTTTTATACCTTTGGAAATATTGCTGCCTTAGCCAGTACGTGCTTTTTAATGGGGCCCATGAAGCAGCTGAAGAAAATGTTTGAAACAACACGATTGCTTGCAACGATTATTATGCTTCTGTGTTTCGTACTTACCCTGTGTGCTGCTCTCTGGTGGCACAAGAAGGGGCTGGCCTTACTATTCTGCATATTGCAGTTCCTGTCGATGACCTGGTATAGCCTGTCTTACATCCCGTACGC